CCAAACAGATGACACAGCGTGTGCCTGCAGTCACGGCCCGCAGGAGGCTGAAGCTGAGGATCAGTCGAGGCCGGAAGGCCAGTATGGGCAACAGAGCCAGTCAACGCCTCAAAAACAACAAAAAAGAAAGCACCCAAACTGTGGAGGGAAACTGGCCTGGCAGCTTAATGGCTTGGCGGGTAACTTCACCTCCAAGGTATCTGAGCTGCACAGGTTTGAGACCAGAAGTGGTAGGGATTCACTGTCTAAAACATGGTGGTGCATGCCTGTAATCCCACCACTCGGGGAGGCTGAAGCAGGAGGAACCAATTCCAAGCCCAGCCTGAGCAACTCAGTAATACCTTGTCTCAAAACTGAAAAAAATGTCCCCGCCTGCTGCGCAAGCGCCAAGGACCAGAGTTTGATCCCCAGCACCAAAAAAAAAAAAACCACTGAAAACAATGAAAACTGGGCTGGGAGTGCAGCTTAGTGAGTTGGGCCTGGAATCAATTCCCAGTACCACAAAAAAAGACAAAAACCCCTCAGCAGCTAAGGTCAGCTCCCAGCCCTATCCAAACAAGACTTCACGGTAACCCTCTCACACCTCACCCAGCTCCCTCACCTAAGGATTCCTCTCCAAGGGTTCCTCTGCCCCACTGAAGCTCAGCCCAGTCAAAACCTATTCACTCTCCACTGTGGGTGGCAAAAACAAAGTTAGCAACAAAGCCTAAAGTAAGTAGGTTCCTACCTTAGCCTGTTCCTTCAGCCAATGGAATTTATATGGGGGGTGGGTACTGGAGACTGAACCCAGGACCTTTGCACTGAGCTACATCCCCAGGTCTTTATTTTTTGAGACAGGAGCTCACCAAGTCACTAAGTTGCCCAGGCTGGGCTTAAACTTGCAATCCTCCTGCCTCAGTCTCCCAGAGTGCTGGGGTTACGGGTGTGTGCCACTATGGCCAGCTGAAAGTTCTTTTATTTCCAAGTCATCTAGGTTTTAAAGGTAGGTCCACAATCTTTCCCACCAGACTGAATTCCTATGAAAGGGACATGTGGCCAAAAGTGGGCTTTGGTGCTGCACACAGCTCACCAACAGAGCACTTGCCTGCCACTTGCTACACCTTGGGTCCAACTTCCACCACCAACAAGGGAAATTAATGGGGAGGCGGATCACTGAAACTCACACCTACCACTTCCCAGATCTGTGGGAAAGTTCTCAAATCTGAAGCCTTGGGTCCTCTTCATTGTAGTGATGAAAATATGATCTATCACTCAGGACTGCCATGGGGATTGTAGTCACAGAAGATTTTCTGGGTTGGTTTTTTTTCTTCTTGGTTGCTAGAAACTGAATCCAGGACCTAAGGCGTGCTAAGCACAAACACCCCCAGCCTAGGTTATGTTTTAAAGCACCTGGCATACAGTAGCTGCTCAGCTGTCCACTGGATATACACACACCAAAAGCCAGGCATGGTACCACATGCCTGTAATAGAGGCACTCAGGCTCAGGACTGTACCTCAGTGCCGAGGATCTGAGTTCAATCCCCAGTACCACAAAACAAAAGCACAAGAGTCAAAACTTATCCGTCACTGGGCGTGGTGTCCCAAGCCTGTAGTGCCAGCACTCCCACTCGAGCCTGAGGCAGGGGGATCACCGTGAGTTCCAGGTCAACCTGAGCTACATAAATTCAGGGCCAGCCTGAACTACAGAGTGAGACCTTGTCTCAAAAACCACAACAACTGGGCCCGGGATTTAGCTCAGTGGTTCTGCCGCCTACCTCAAAAGTGCAAGGACCTGAGTTCAATCCCTCGGTACCAAAAAAAACCCAAAAAAAAGCAAAAAAACCAAAAATTCCTGTCAGCCGAGTATGGTAGGCTATATCTGTAATCCCACCACAAAGCAGGTTGAGACAAGATGTTAAATTTGAGGCCAGCCGGAACTAAACAGTGAGTTCAAAGCCAGCCTGTCTACAATGAGAACTTGTCAGAAAAATAAATAGAACTGGAGATACAGGTCAGTGGTACAGCACTTGCTTAGTGTGGGCAAGGACCCAGGTTCCATCCCCAGTACCACAAAAAATAAATAAACCTCTTCCAATATGTACACCAAGTAGGAATGTATTATGTAAAAAACTTCTGATTAGTACTTTTACTACTTCAACACAACTCCCAAAAGCTGAAAGAATTCTGGTTGTTAGACTAAAGGCACATACAATTCTGAAACTGTACTCAGATTCCAAGAAACATACTCTTGCTCAGCATAGCGCTGCACACCGGTTATCCCAGTACTTAGGAGGCTGAGGCAGGAGGATCACTATGAGCCCAAGGCCTACCTGGGACACATAGCAAAACCCTGTCAATAAATTCATCCATCCATCCACCCAATCCATCCAAACCAATCCCTCCCTCACTCCCTGCCTCAAAAAGACCAGAGATGTCAAATCCAACCTTGACTTGTCTCTATACCCTCTGAGAACCTAGGCACTGGCTACTCTGGAAGCTGAAGCAGGATTACAAATTTAAGCCCAGCCAAGGCAACTTAGTGACTTAGCCGAGTCATCTCAAATTAAAAAAAAAAAAAAAAGACTGGGGATATTGCTCAGTCAGAAGGCCCTGGGTTCTAGCCCCAGTAGTAAAAACAAAACAGGGCTAGGGATTTAGCTCAGTGGTTCCGCCACCTGCCTCGCAAGTGCAAGGACCCAAGTTCAATCCCTGGTACCAAAAAAATAAAAAATAAAAACAAAACAAAAGAACCCTACAAACCTCCTTAGGGACTGAGGGTGGTAGAGCACATGCTAGAGAGAGACCCTGGGGGGTTAAGTCCCCTACACACACACACAGGCACACAGACATGGGCACAAGCGTACAGTCCTTTATTGATTTAAGAGAGAAAGCTTTGGATGAAGGGACAGAATTAAAAAAATTAAGCTGGGCATAGTGGCACTTGGGAGGGCTAAGGGAAGCAAATCAGTGCCAACTTCCAGGCCAGTGTGGGCTACACAGAGAGGCCTTGTCTCCAAATAAATAAACAATTAAATAGTCTCACAACATAATTCAATTCCTTTAGCCATTTTCAGAAGCTCTACAGTCTACACAAAAAAGTGGCCAATTTACCACTGTATATGAGAGTGATATTTTTTTCCCATTTTTCTATTGGTACATTTTAGATATACATAATGATAACATTCATCATCGCGAATTTATACCTGCACATGATATATCCTGCTGCTTTTTTTCCCCATTCCCCTCCCCTCCCTTCAACCCCTCTTCCCTTCCTTTTTTTATTTACTTGTCCATAGAAGAGAAAAATCTACAGTCCCAAGCCTGATTTCAAGAGGGAAAAATTCAAAGCATCTAAAAATATAGTTATCTCTCACGTCCTCATTTCAGATAAGAAATGGTCGCTTGGGCCAGGGATGCAAGCGCCAGGTCCTGAGTTTTGATCCCCCATACCGAAATTTAAAAAAAAAGAAATGGTCACTTAAACCTGGAGTGGTGGCACACGCCTGTAAGTCCCAGCACTCAGGAGGCTGTGGCAGGGGGATTGCCGGGAGTCTGAGGTCAGCCTGGGCTACATAGTGAGACTGTCTCAAAAATAAATTTCCCGGAAAAAAAAAAAAAAAAAGGAAAGGAAAGGAAAGGAAAGGGCCACTTGTGAAAGTCAAAGTGAAACAGCAGAGAAACCCAAGATTGCTGCCCTGGCCTAACAAATGTCAAACACTGACAGGTTCCTAGACTACTTTATTTTTCATTCATTCAATGGGTATTTACTAAGCAACTACTAAGGGTGAGGTGCTGCTAGGCAGCGTGTACCAACCACGTTCCAAAACACTTGAACAGAACTGCCCCAGTGCTATGGTCCTCAGTGGAGGACACATAGAAGAGAGTGCTCTTGAAATCTGTGAGGGGAACCGTGCTTAGGCCAGCACTGAGAGGCTGAGGCTGGAGGATCGCCATGAGTTCGAGGTCAGGCTAAGCTATATAATGCGTTCAAGGACAGGCTGAACTACATAGGGAGACCCTGTCTCAAAAAAAAAAAAAAAAAAAAAGAGGGTCCAGGATTTAGCTTAGTGGTTCCACTGCCTGCCTCGCAGGCACGAGGACCGGAGTTCGACCCCCCCCCCCAAAGCAACGTTTTGTAACGGAGCATAAGGAGCATTTTTTGGTGGTTTGATTCATAATAACGTCTAAGAGAATAACTCCTGAATATCTATTTAAAAGAAAAATTCTAAAACCTGTGTTATAAACAAGGAGTTAAGGCACAACGCATAAAACCACTGATTCAGCAGAACTGTCATTCCAAAGTAGGCCAAACAAGAATAGTAAGAGATTTCAAATAGTAAACACTACGAAGAACAAAAATATAAAATGGGGCTCTCTGGGCAGGCCTCACTGAAGATCACATTATGCACTGACGATCATTACCTCTTGTACTCAAACCACACATCACCCCAAAGTGCAAAGAGATGAAAAGGGTCTCGCTGTGTAGCCCAGGCTGGCCTCTAACTTGTGGCGATTCTCCTGCCTCAGCCTTACGAGTGCTGGGACATAACGGTGCCACGGACGCTCGGCTGAAAACTCATTTTTAACAGCACTGCATCTCTCACAACACTGCAGTACCTTTGGGTTAACTTCCGAGGCCAATCGCGCCCAGATCTTCAGCAAGCCAAAAACGGGAACCGGCAGCGGACTCGAGCCTCGTCTCTGCCTGAATTCGCCCGCGCTCCCCGGCGGCCCGGACCTCACGCCCATTGTTCACACCTGATGCGGCTAACAAAAGGGCCGGACGCAGCCCGCCCCGCTCCCCCGGCCGGCGGGTGCGAGCCCCCCGCCGTGCGTGGGCCGAGGGGCCGCCGGGCCAGGGCCAGGGCCAGCGCCAGCGCCTGCGGGGGGGGGGGGAGGGGGGGCGTGGCGCCGAGGCCTTTTGTTGTCCCTCGTGGCGCGGGGGGAGGGGCGGCCAGGCCGCGGTCCTGGCGCAGCCGCCCCCGCTGCCGTCACGCGGCCGGACCCCGCGCGCGACCCACCTTCTTGTAGTGCTTGCCCAGCCACACGCGCACCGAGTCCAGCTGCGACACCGTCTCCGGGCTCTCCCAGAACTTGCTCGCCGGGCCCCCGTCCTTCCGCCGATACACGGCCAGGCCCGCGGCCGCCGCCCCCGCGCCCCCCGCGCCCATGGTTCCTGCCGCCGCCCCCGGGCCCCCGCCCGCCGCCGCGGCCATCGTCGCTGTCCTTCGTCCCCGCTCCGCTCGCCCAGGCTCTCGCGGCGTTTCCCGTTCGCACCCGCGCGCGCGCGGAGCCCCCGCCGCCACCACCGCTCCTGGGTCCGCCCAGTCGACCCACTTCCGTCGCGCATGCCGGCCACGCCCCTCGGCGCCAGCGTCTCCACGGGTGCGTGCGCGTATGTGCGCATGCGCAGTGGCCCGGGAAGAGCCTAGCTGCCCGCCTCTTCCGCCCTCTGCTGAGCTCTGCGAATCCCGGCCACAGCACAACGAGGTTTCGGTGCTTCAGTGTCTAACCCGTCTTCCTGCGTCCGATCGTTAGGCGGTCAACAACTTCAGGGAGGTTCTGTGTCATTGTTGGAATCCCCATTGTGTCTGCCGAAAAGAAAAAGCCCGGTAGAGTACCGCCGGCCTCGCTCCGCAGACCTGCTGCCTTCGGACTCCGGACACCTCGGCTTGCGCCTGCCCCAGGGTCCTTGCCCTGCTGTGTCCTCGACCTCGCAGATCTCCCTTGCTGTTCTCGCTTGCGGGGCACTGCTGCGTAAATAGCTTAGAAGTTCTTCCGAAAGGCGATCCTCACCCTACCATCCTGGACCGCCAGTCACCCCCACTCGGTATTTTCTGCGTAGATTTCACCAGTTCTTTTTCACAGCTCCATCCTCAGCCCCAGGGACAGGATCTGTTATCTTCAGATGTTCAGTAAATATTTGAAGAAGGAATGAATGACCTACACAGGCAAAAAGGTTTAAAACAAAATGTGATTGTCCATAACGGAATTATGGACATAGATATGATCCTTGATCTTCAGGTGACTACAGTTTGTGAAAAAGCCTGCTTAGTCTTTCAGGACTTTTAAAACTGAGTAGAGGATTTAGGGGTGTTCGTGTTAGAGCGCCCACAAGGCGCCTAAGGTAGCCCACCACAGTGGCGAACGCCTGTAATCCCAACACTGGGAAGCTGAGGCAGGAGGATCCCTGTGAGTTCAGGGCCAGCCTGGGATACATGAGAGTGACACTGTCTTTAAATAAACAAGTAAATATTGGGCTAGGGATATAGCTCAGTGCGAAGTCCCTGGGTTCAATCCCCAGTACGCCCGCCTCCTAAAGGTCAAAATTACTTGGGGGGGCATAAAAAGAAATAAAGTGTGTTCAATACAAGTACCGACTCCCCATGATGAATACAATCATCATGTACTCTAAACAAAATTTTGATAATTTTTTTTGGTACTGGGGATAGAACTCAAGACCCTGCGCATGAACTCTGGTGATGAACATGACCATGGCCATCTTTTCCACACAAACATGAATGTGACCATCTTTTCCAGAATCGTGGAATTAAGTTTGAGCCGAGGTACCACTATATATGCGTGTGTGTGTGTGTATATATATTTTTGGTTCTTTTGGTTGTTTGAGGCAGGGTCTCCCTTTGTAGTTCAGGCTGCCCCTGAACTCACTATGTAGCCGAGGGTGGCCTCGAACTCGCAGTGATTCTCCTGCATCAGCCTCCTGAGTGTATATATATATATATTTTTAATCAGTTCACCTATGTGTAACCAATCTCCATGTTGGGCCTACATAGGTAAGCTCCACCCTTCTTGGCTCTTTCAATCCACACTAAGCCACCCTGAATATGTTTATACTTAACCTTGCTGGCTAAAGCCAGGCATAATGGTACAGGTTTCTAATCTCAGCACTCGGGAGGCTGAGGCAGGAGGACTGTGAGTTTGAGGCCAGCCTGGGCTACAGAGTGAGTTCAAGACCTGTCACAAAAAGAACTAAAAAAATAAGACAAAAATACCATGTTTTGCTTTCTTCTGTCTAATAACTTCAAGAGTGAACTATTTGAGAAGTGATGGTTGGAGGGAAATGAAAGACAAAAACAGCACTCTTGGGGCTGGGGATTTAGCTCAGTGGTTCTGAAGCCTGCCTTGAAATTTCAAGGACCCGAGTTCAATCCCCAGTACCAAAAAAACCCCCCCAAAAAACAGCACTCTTAATCAAATGAAATGTAAATCCAGAATATGGTGACCATATTTAACTGCAGACAGTTTTCTCTTTTTACAGCAGTACACTAAGGGCCACAACAGTGACTGTGAACAGAAACTACAGAAACCAATGTTAGTATTCAGTGGGGAAAACTACAATTCTTCCATCCTCCATAATTTTTTATCATGACCTATTGTACAATATGGCAACTATAATTAATAGTTGGGGTAAAGTGCTTTTCTTGTATATGCAGGGCTCTGGGTTTGATACCCTAGCACTGCAATAATAATAATAATAATAATTGAAAAAACAATAATTGACATTTCAAAATTGCTAAAAGAGTGGAGTTTTTTGTATTGTATTTTTGGAGTACTCAGCATTAAACTCAGAGCCTTCCACTATTGAGCTATGTTCCCAGCATAAACGAGTAGAATTTAAGGGCCTGGGATGTAGCTCAGTGGTGCCACACCTGCCTCACAAGCACAAGGTCCTGAGTTCCATCCCTGGTACCAAAAAAAAAACAAAAAAGTAGAATTTAAATGTTCTCACTACAACAAAAGAAGTGTGTGAGGTGATAGATTGACAAGCCTCATTCAGTCATTCAAAATTCATACATATACCACACAAATACATGCAATTATTATTTGTTCATTAAACATGTTTGGGGGCAAGGGATGTACCTCAGTGATGGAGCAGTTCCTTGCATCCCCAAGACCCTAGGTTGAATCCCCAGCACCATAAAAATTTAAAAATAAAAACAAAAATAACCAGGTCAGGATGTAGCTCAGTGGCACTGCGCCTGCCTGGCAAGCGCAAGGTCCTGAATTTGATCCCTGGTACCAAAAAAACAAAAAACAAAAACACATGAAAAAAACAAAAATAAGCTAGTTGTATGGTACATGCTTGTGATTCCAGCACTCTGGGAGGCTGAGGGGAGAGGATCATAGGGTTTTGGGGGGGGGGGGTACCGGGGACTGAACTCGGGTCCTTGTGCTTGTGCAGCAGGCATCAAAACCACAAGCTAAATCCCCGGCCCAAGAATCATAGGTTTAATTCTCAACTGGACAATTTAGGAAGAGCCTTCCAAAAAAATAAGTAAAGGCTAGGGTCTGACCTCAATGGTACAGTACCTCTGGGTCAATCTTTCCCACAAAAACAGGCGGGGGTGGGGGGGTGGGGGGGGTTCGTTTCCTGGTAGAAAATGTACCAAATTTCAGCTAGGTGTGGTGGTGCACACCTGTGATCCCAGCACCTGGGAGGCTGAGGCTGCAAGTTCAAGACCAGCCTGGACTACATAGTGAGACCCTGTCTCAAAACCCAAAAAGTAAAAAACAAAAAAAATTACCAGATTTGAACTTCCTGTGAAATTTATAATACAGAGCATGTATCTTGTCTCAAATTTTAAAAAATTGAAAAAAGGAAACACAAGGTCCTGAATTTGATCCCCGGTACCAAAAAAAATTTAAAAAGGATTTTGGGCTATTGCTCAGTACAAAGGTTCTGGGTTCCATACTGCTCATTACTGGGGAAAAAAGGGGTGGAGATGAGCCTTAGATGGACATCACGTGTCAGCCAGCTCTAAAACAAACAACTGATTTTTTTAAAAAAAGAAAAGAAAAGAAACGACTGATATGCTGAATCCTCAAGTTGCATTAAAAAAACAAAGGTACTGGACTATATTATGTGAGTCATGGAAATGAAGTCAAGAACCTGGGCCAGGACCTGACCACACTGAAGGTGCAGGAGTGACAGGAAGTAGACCAAGAAGGTCTTAAAATAAGACCTGTGAGGTTCATCAGCAACTCCCCACAAGGAACGAGCCATTATGTACCGCAACATGGACTAATCACAATAGAAATGAAGAAAAGACTGTCTTCAGTGGACAGCACCCACAGGAGCACCCGAGGAGACAGAAACGTTAATGGACGTGTCTGCTGCTCTGCAGAGGCACCGGGCCACGCTGCCCAGGGAAGCACTGTATCCCTGCCCTTAGAAATGCTGGCCACTTTCTTCTCTCTTGAGAGTGGGGTAAAGGTTACTTCCCCAGACCTTAATTCAAACAAAACTCTGCAGAGAAATATAGTGGTGAGCTCTGTCTCCCCCTAGTGGACGGCAGATTTTTCACTCAAAAGATCTAAAGCCAAAGGGCTGGCACCAAAGTCTTTGTGAGGGGAATGAGTGTCTAAGTCTAGATCTTTTCTGTGCATTACGATCATGTGTATTTTTTTGAGACAGGGCCTCACTCTGCTGCACAGGCTGCCTCCAATTTCTGGGCTCTAGCAATCCTGCCTCAGCCTCCAGAGCACTGGGGCACAAGCAGACGCCCTGCACCCAGCTCCCAGGTGTGTGGATGCCCCTCTGTCTTCATGTAGGCATTTCGTCGTTCCCAGTACCATGTCATTTTCTGTTCTTCTTTTTCCTGTGTCGCTGTTGAGCTGGGGCCACCACAGAGTGGCTGAGGGGCGGCCCAAGAAGACAAGCAGGGAGCTGCAACTTCGGGCAGGAAGAGGGCAAAGTAAATCAGGGCAACAGTCAAGTGAGCAACTGAATGTAGTCCTTGAGATAAGAAAGTGGGGGAAAAAAAAGAAAGTGGGGTGCAGGACCAAAGACAGCCCCAGGTCCAACCAGTAACTGGCCCTATGCTTCTTTCACTGCAGTGCTTGTCAGCAGTCCCAGAGGGGACATAACACTTCTGGTTCTTTGTTTTGTTTTTTTGAAACAGGGTCTCACTGTGTAGTGCAGGCTGGACTTCGACTCACTACATAGCCCAGGCTGGCCTTGAACTTGAGGTGATTCTCCTGCCTCAGCCTCCTGAGTACTGGGATTACAGATATGCCAACATGCACAGCAGACATAACACAATCTTTTTTTTTTTTTGTACCGGAGATTGAAAACAACACATTCTTAAGCACATTTTGGGCCCTGTGTGAACTCACACCTGCACAGAAACTGCCCAGCCACCAGTTATGAGAAGGAATCCATAAATAATTTGGAACTCCGTGAAAGCAGAGTGCATCCTTTGTTGCAGCT